TTTTTGAAACAAAAAAATCACACTTATACTTGAGTTTTTCCCATTGTGCTGTCCCTGTAAACTGTGCTCAACATCACAACAGTTTCTGCAACACTTTTCCTGACCAGGAAGCAAAATTTCACAGCCACAAGCTGTTCTTTTAAATCAGCCATCACAAAAAAACAGGGTTCAGAGGAAACTGCTTGTATGAAAAAATTCTCTGTGACAAGAGAGAACTTCTCTTCCCAGGCGATACCATTGGGTGCACTAACTCAGAGCAAGTTGCTTGATGCTCACCTAGCGGGGAAAAATGTGTACTAGGAAAGCTCTGCTCCGCTTAGTGTAATCCTGTTTTGTGTTATTTTGGGGGGTACCCCCTCATATGATAACATTATAATGTAAAATTAACAAAATTCAAGTGGACACCTTCCCAAATAATTTGCAGCTTTGCAACATTTACGGGATGGCTGCTCACATAAAACTATTTTTAGATGGATTTGTCATTTTAAGGAAGGTTGGGAAGATTTCCACAATGAGCTGAGAGAAGGAAGACTGTTGACTCTATGAATGATGAAATTGTGGCCGAAATCCAGAACCTGGTGGAAGATCATAGACTTGCCATTGATGTGATGCGTTACTGAAGTTGAGACTTCACACTGTTCAACATTCGAAATTAAACATCAGGGCTTCAGGAAGCTGTGTGCTCAATGGGTGCCAAAAGTATTGTGTGAACCTCACCTAGCTCAAAGATCTCATCTTTCCTTCCATCTTTAAAGTAAAATCAAAGACAATGAAGACAATTTTATGGAATGAGTCGTAATCAGGGACCCATCTTGGATGTGATTCCAATAGGATCTAGAGAACAAACTCCAATCCAAACAGTGGCAGAGTGGTCAGCTCAGAAGGTTATGGCATTGTTTGGGGGGATTCCAAAGGGATAATTGTGATTAAATTTACTAAAAAGACAGTATGGGCACAGAGACTGTTTAGGAAGAAATTTAAGAAAATTGAAAATTGAGCTGGTGGAAAAAAAGGAAAAGCCTGGGGTGAGGTGGGAAATGAGCATGGGAGAGTTTGTTGAGGGGGAAAAAAAAAAAAATCCCGGAAAGCTGCTCTGAAAATTTTTTTTCCCCCTTAGAAAATTTCTTAATGATGCCAGTGCATTTGCTCATTCTTTGAGGGAAGCAAAGGTTTTCCTCTTAACCATTTTGTTGGAAACCCTACTCCATAGAGTGTATAGCCCTGATCTTCCTCTTTCAGACCGTATTTTGTTTCCCAGACTCAGGGAACATTTAGAGTAGTGGTTCAGCCCTCCCAATGTTGTGACCCTTTAATACATTTCCTCATGTGGTGGTGACCCCCAACCATAAAATTATTTTTGTTGTTACTTCATCAATGTAATTTTACTACTGTTAGGAATCAGGCGACCCCTGTGAAAGGGTCATTCGACCCCGAAAGGGGTTGCAACCCACAGGTTGAGAACCCTACTGATTTTAGAGGAACAGAATATTGAGTCTCTCAAGGATGCCAAAACGATCACTGTGGCATGGTATAAATCAGTGTTTCCCCACAGTGGTGATATCACCCTATAGGTGGGGGCTGGGACAATCCAGGAGGATTGTAAAAGCAGACTATTA